AGTAGGAAAAAGCTGTGTCTACAGCTGGAGCACCCAATTTCTTGTAGAATTAGTCAACCAAGGGGTACTGATGAAGGAACTGCTGCAGAAGTCAGAAAAAAACAAAACAAAACACTTTTTTCCAAGTGAGCCCAAGTAGCATACATCACTTCCAGCAAGTAAGAGTGCACTGGTGGCTGCCAGAACCCAAATTCAGTGGCCTTTGGAGAAGAGCATTCCAGAAGCACTTTCTTTCTGCTAGGAAGCCCACTGGTCTTGTACATCCGAGAGAGCTCTAGACCCTGGGATATTTCCTGGAAAGAGCCATCTACAGAGGATTTCTGATTCTCAACAGCTTCCTCCTCTTGAGAATGATCCTCCAATGCCTCGTCCTGTTGCAAAAGAAAACAAAGAGGGGAAGGAGAGTGCCCATACTTCTATACTTCCATACTACTGTCCTAGGCATTCCAAGCCAGTGAGAACCCATAAGAGCTGATCTCGCAAACCAGAAATGGCTACAGAAAATTGCTCCCTTAACACAAGGGAAGCAGATTGTGTCCCTGAGACAGTGGAAATACCAAATAAGGGCAGGGATTTAGAGCTAATTTGACCATTGCTGGGCAAAACTGTACAGGGGGTCCTTCCTAGCTGACAGATTTAGGAGCCCACCCCAACGTCCTATCATCATGGCACACATGCCCCACAAGGCTTTCAGGAACTTGAATCCCCCACCAGGAGATCATTACTCTGGACCTGTACATAACCCTGCCATCAAATTCAACTGGTACATTTTATCCTGGAGGTCACCGCCCACAGGATCCAGCGCTGACTGGCAGCCTTACAGGCTTTCCCCACTTTTGCATGGAGGGTTCGAGTACAGTCCTCTTGGCCTACTAGCTGCAGTGACTGACCCAGATAAAGCCCTCTTCTAGGAAATCCCTAGGAACAGACCAGGAAATAGGGGAATTAAAGCCAACAGAAGGACGTTTCAGAGACACATAGGTAAGCACATCCATCGCCTAAAGACAAAAACTAACAACTTAGGCTTAGATGAGCTGGGACGGGGCCATTGTCCATTCAACTGAAGGCGGCAACATAACCTAAGCAGTCATGAAATTTTTTTTTTTTTTTTTAACAGATTTAACAAAATGTGCTAGGCTCATTACAATGTAAATTAAAAAATAAATAAATAAATAAATAAAATGAAGGTGCAGTTGTCCATGAGATCATTATTAAGGTGCATTCTCAAGCCAAACTTTATTTAGCCTTTGGATAGAGTGGTGAGTAGTTAAAACCCTGCATCTCCATTTTGGAGATATAGTCTCCCGATTTGTCAAGGTAACCATTATCACTGGGGCTAGTAGTGAGGAAGAAACCAAAAAATTTTGAATCACCACCAGAACAGGAATAGAGGGGAAATCTTGTTTTGGTTACAATGACCCAAGAGGGAATTTTCCCCACTTTTGGAGAGATTTCCTCTCACTTTCTTTTTTGTCTAGAGAACAGGAAGTGAAGTGAAATCTCCCCAATGGGGCACAGATGAAAAAAGACTGACAGGGACTGACACTCTATCCAAAATGAAAAAGGAACATTTTGGCTTTAGTAAAACTTCAAATGTCTGAAATGATTGCTGCAGTCAATAGATCAAAAAGATCTTTTTTGATAGGAGAGTTATTTACTGGAAAAACCTATCACTCATACTTCAGCATATAACTGCAGTTCTGTAATTTGTTCCATTGTCCAAGTGTTGCAAAGGACGTTTAGAAGTTCTAAAACCTAATTCATTTATTATGAGAACGCAACATGAATTTCTTTTGACTGTGACTCTGCGGGATACATTTGGAATAATGAAGTGTGGGATTTCAGACAAATGCACTAAGCACAGAACAATATAGAAAGTAGCAGGGGCGTGCAGCTGTTCCTACATACCTTTTCATTTCACAGGAAGCCACAATCATTTCCACACCTAATGGATGCATACAATCACAAGTAAATCATCTTGTACAGCAAAAGAAAAAATGGTTTATTTAGGGCTTTATTGTCTTTGATAATTGTCAGACACCAGACAAGTGTTGTTCAGGGACCTCCATAAAACAGATTGATATTCAAAAGGAGGAAATAATTGGTCATAATTTACTATGGCTTTCTGGTTTGTACTTATTGCAGAACCACTCTAAAATAATTTTCTCAGATCCCTTGAAACACAAGTAAATAGTTTGAAATTTTACAATAAACATGAAATATTTGATAAATTAAAGTGTTACTAAAGTCTGTTTATTTTTTAATTAAAGTAAAAAAATAAAATAAATAACTGGTTATACTCACCTGCCCTATACAATGGTATTGCACAGAGTTGCCCCGATCCTTCTCAAGTCCCGTCGCCAATCTTGGCTCCTACTCTTCTTAGTGTGTCCCCATAGCAAACAGTTTGTTATGAGGCACACAGGGGTTGATTTACTAAAGGTGGAGAGTGCAAAATCTGGTGCAGCTGCGTATGGTAGCCAATTGGCTCCTAACTTCAGCTTGTTTTCTTTAAGCTTTAACAATAAAAACTGGAAGCTGATTGGTTTCTATGCACCAGATTTTGAACTTTTAAGTTTTTAATTAACCCCCACAGTGTCTGCTCGCTCCCAAGCTGTGCGTCTATGGAGCTGCGCTCCATTGACTCTCACAGCGGGACTTTGCCCTGTCCCCCACTTCCTCATCACTGCATTTGACTCAAAGCAGAGGAGTGTTGTGTGAAGAGGAAGAGAGGGAAGAGATGCACAGTGCTGGATCTATTCTTCCCTCTCATCCCCTCCACAAAGGGAATTGGGGGGGGTGGTCGAGAGAGAGAAAACTTATTACCTTAATGCAAGGAATGCATTAAGGTGAAAAATGTTTTTAGCTTTAGTATCACTTTAACCCATCAACTAAAAACTTCAGAGATTTACAGAGTATGCACAAGTAGACTATTCATACCCGGTCTTGCCTATAAAAGAAGCTGACCGTTTTAATATATAACAATCCATATTTTTTGGATAGAGTATTGAATGGATAACACCTCTGTCAGGGTTTATTTTCTTGAAATCAGTGTACCATTAAAATTACATCCCTTCACTTAAAAGTTTAACTTTGGGTAAAAAATAAAAACAAATAGTGAACAGGTAGGAATTTAAATGCAGAAGAGACATGCTTTATCTCTTCAGTATTAACGTTACTTACCTTCCTGTCAGCTGCTGTACAGTGAGCCATGCATGCACAGCTAACTGTACAAATTCGGCAATGCCGAAACTGACTGAGCTCCTGTGCAGCCGGGCGGGGAGCAGCAAAACACCACATCGCTGGAGCGGAGGTGCGTAAAGATCCACTTTAAGGTTCCAGGGACAAACTATGAAGCAAAATATAATCTCCCTCTTAGGCTAGGTTCACACTTTGTGGTTGGTTGCAGGTATCGCAGCTGTTCCCACGCCCACCCATAGCCAAAAACGCGTTGCTCTTTAAAATGCGCAGGGCTGCCATTCATTCTTAATGGCGTCCCCACACATCTAAAAACATGACGTGTTTCTGGTGCAGGAGCCACAGGGAAAATCGCATGGTGTAAAAGCAATGCAGGTGTACCTCGGTTTACAAACGCCTCGGTTAATGTCATTTTTGGTTTACAAATGAAAATCCATTGAAAATAACACTTTTTTTCACAATACGAAGTGTATGTTGGTGCCGATTTTTAAATGCAATTGCCGGCTTTTTTTTTTGTTCACTATAGCTCACAGAATTAGCTGTCACTTTCCCTGGAGCTAAAAGGACACGGTTTCTTTTATCTTGGGAAACAAACTAAAAGGAAACAGTGTTTCTTTTAACTCAGGGAAATAAACTAAAAAGAAAACTTTTTAGCTGGGGGAAAGTGACCACTGATTCTCTGAGCTATAGTGAAGAAAAAAAAAAAAAGCCAGTAATTCCATTTAAAAACCAGTATGGACCAATAGTGACAGTGACTTTTTTTTTCACTTTTTTCTGACCTCCAGAATGGATTAATTGGTTTTCAATGCATTCCTATGGGAAACCGCAATTTGGTTTATGAATTTTTCGCAATACGAAACATCCCGGAGAACGTATTAAATTTGTAAACCAAGGTACACCTGTATGCGATTTCTTGGCTGGTGCATTTTCAAAATGCTGCAGACAACCTTTTTCCATTTACATGATGGGGATGCCATGCCCGCGCAAACGCAGCCCACAAAGCCACAATAGTGCGAACCTAGCCTTAAGATAGCTGTCATTGCACCAGGTGTCCCCATTAGAGGATCTTCCCTTACCTCTTGCTCTGTTGACAACTGTAAACTTTTGGAATTTTGACCACTTTCTGCCTCTAGGACAACGGTTATCAGGACAAACCGAGAGGGTGAATCTCTTCAGAAGGGACACTAACAGAAGTTCTAACACTAGGGCCAGTATGAGGATCAACAAGTTAATTCAGAACAAAGATTTTTAATTGTTGAAATGTCAGAAAATGCATTAAAATGAAAAAAATTCATATAGACAGCATCCCTAGTGGAAACACAGGACCTCAGCATTACTAGCAAGAGTACAGTCAGTCAGAGAAACAACGGCAATCAAATTTTTTGTGTCAGAGGGGTAGGACTGAGCTTCTAGGTACACCATTATCATAGATGTGCACCAAGAACCTCCTCCCATAGGTTTTAAACACAGGGAAGATTCTCGTCCTCCAAGAGAAATGGCATGTTAAAAAAAAAAAAAAAAAAAAAAGCTGTCACAAGGACAAGGCCCCAAAACCCATTCCACGTCATCTCATATTTCTACACCATCTGAAAACCTACCACAACACATAAATTTGTTTACTCACCAGTGTTAAAATAGTCACAAGAGATTTATAGAATATATATATATTTGAGGTGGGAAATCATCTTTCATCACATACCATCTTTATGGCAATATACACAAATCACAGGTTCCTGATAGGCTGCAGTAGGCTCAAAGAATGGCTCGCTGTACACGTCATTTTACATTACACACAAGCTTACCTTCTTTCGAAAAACAGAAAAGGCCACGCCACAAGCTTTACACACAATGGTGGAGGATGAGGAAGGATATGGTGAAAAATCTGCACTCTGTGCAAATCTAAAGGGACCTGTTCCACCTCCGAATGCTGCCTGCTGCCCTCGCACCGCACCAGTGCCCATGACTTCATTCAGCAGCCCGCAGCAAGACGCCCACATGGAGCTGGCCCCCGCCTGCAACAGCCAAAGATAAAAACAGGTGGTTATTAAATAAAAATGTACAATTATTAAATGTTACTTCTATTCATACTACAGATTGGCAATGCAGAAAATGCAGTCATAAAATGTTAATTTCCACTCCAAATCCTGCCGCTGAGAGACGACTGGCATAATTTAATTTTTAGACTACGGTTATCAAATTATGTTTGGTAGTTTTGTACTAGACAGAAAGGGCTACATCGTGTTCACTATTGACATTGGTTATCAGGCAGACAGTGAAAGACACCACAATGTGCAGTTATGCTGTTAGGTACTTATTAGAAAAGGAAACATTAAATGCATTTAAAATTCAACTAGTATAATTACATCAATCAGCCTGGGAGACAGAGGCACAGTGCTTGGTGCCAAACAGGTGTCCTGCATTCAGGCATTCATGTCTGATAACAAGAACAAGCTCCTAGGGTACACAAATGGAGCAGATAGATGTCATCTGTCTGTTGCTGCTCCTTTAGCCTGGGTTCAGACTGATGCGGTGTGGAATTCACAGTGATTTTCTGTGTGAATGCCTCACCGCATCAGAATCGCACCCTGTTCAAGCGAACCGCTGCGGGTGTGTATGTTAACAACACCCCGAAATCGGTCTGCAAAACACGGTGCGACGTGAAGAATCGGATTGCATAGGTGTGAATACCCATGTGATCAGATTCTAGTGCGGACAAAAAAAAAAAAAAAAAAAAAAAAAAAAAAAAAAGGAGCCATACGTAACGTATGGCTCCAATCGCACCACACACACACAAACTTCGCATGTAATTTGCACAGGAATGTGGTGCGGTTCTTGCGCGAATCACATGCGATGTACCGAATCACATATATGTGAACCCGGGCTTACTGCCCAATCACAGGCTGGGGCAGGGGAGTGACCCATCTAGGTTTCTTAACTTCAGTAGACAAAAGGCAACAGGTTGGCTGTGCTGACTGGTAGGACTGTGTAAGTCTCAGGACTGGAGAGGCAGAAATGAAAATCCTTTTGGCATGTAAAACAGCTTGCTTATATGTGTTTCGTCTGTGGATTTAAAGCGGAACTAAACCCTCCTATGCTGAAGCTGCCGAAGCTGCCATCTGAGCAGTTATGACGCCAGTCATTTAATGACTTGACAGTTTGGTTGAGAGCACAAGCAACTGTGACAGTTATCATTCATTGCATGCCTTGAATGTAACTATTTGGGGAAATTAAAGTGTCATTAAACCCACATCAATTAAAAAAAAAAAAAAAAAAAAAAAAAAAAAGTGTCAGTACAAACTGTCAGTACATGCTATATTACATTCTTTTCATACTCTGTCACGATGTGATTTGTTTTCTGTAAAAAAACAAGTTGACCCTGCTGTTCACTGTCCCTCCCTCCTTGTCTGTGTCCCTGCTGCAGCCTGAGATTGTGTAGACCAGCTGTTGCCACATCTACTGAGCATGCTCCACTTTCAATTCCCTTCTAACCTGTTAAATGTCCTCCTTTTTCTTATCTCAGCAGCCCACGACTATAGAGTCACACATGTGGGCATATACACAGAGCTAAATGACGGCCCACTCTCTCCCTCCTCTTCCATGCCCACTAAACATTATGGGGGTCGGTGGGATAGTACATATTAAAACTGAAATGCAGAGCTAAACTATGATAAAACGAAAGGCAATATATGCATCAATGAATGAATAAATAAAGTGACACTAGTGACCAAGATGAAGGTGAGGCACATACAATTGAGCGCGAACGTGAACAATGTTCCATAAAGTGTCTCACCTTACGGTAGCGAGAAAGAGGATAATGAATATATATTTAAAGTGACAATGGTGAATAGTCCAGCATACATATATACTTCTAGAAAAAATTATGTAAAAAAAAAAAAAAATCAACTAAAAAGTCCAAATATGCTCCGTGATAAATCTATGCAAGTGACTCTGTGCTCAGGGATTGTTGTGTGAATGCACTCACCAGAAGTGCATATTAAATGAGCATAATATTGTGTCCAACTCTTCCAAAGTAGGTAAACCTTGCATCAGTATGATCATAGTATGGAAACTGGAAAGGAACTCCACTGGCTTCTCACAGCATACAGGGAAGACACCAAACACAACCACTGGCCTCTCACAGCATTACAGGGATGGCTCAAACGGTCCCTCTCCACCATAGATCAAACCAGCCAAAACAATGTATTCCACTTTGGGGAGAATGGCTCGCACAAATGAGCCACAACAGGAGTGCTAATAGTGTAATACTTTTATTATATCAAAGAGTAAAAACATCCATGTGGATAATGCAATAAAGAGACATGAAGCTGGCAGCAAACACTCACAAAAATGGCCGCCAGCCCTCTATGCAGACGCGGCGGCGTGACGTCAGTACGGCAGGCTCCTCCCTGACGAGTTTCGTGAGCATGCACGTTATCAAAAGGGATGTATTGTTTGATTGTTGGAGGCATCACCTCCCTGTAATTCTAGGCACATACAAACAATAGACACAGGCTTGAGGGGCATGAAACAGGCTGAGATTGGCAGAACCTCCCTTAAGATAGCCCACACCATGTTTTTGAACAACAATGCAAATGAGTTCAAATACATATTTGCATGACAGTTTTAAAAAAAAAAAAAAAAAAAAAAAAAAAAAAAAAAAGACAGGCTTTGGAAAAATACATAATTAATATAAAATGTTTTAAACATGTGACCAGGACTAGAAGCTCCTGCTGATGTTTGCCTGAAAACAGCCTGGGAAAGAGCTGGGTCACATGACAGCTGCATACGGATTATGAAAAAAGATATTTAGATTTTTTTTATTAAAATACAGTGCCATCATCCATATACATAAAAAGAAGGAATAATGTCAAATAAACTGTGTTTAATATCACTTCAGTGGTCTCCAAACTGTGGCCCTTTCCTTGAACTATTCCACCCACCAACAAGGAAGCCCCATTCCTTCCACTGCCACGAACAGTGGGGAACCATTCCTCTCACTGATGCCAGCAATGGGGTCATTTTCTTTCCACTGACATCAATGATGGGGCACTATTCTTCCCACCAACAAGGAAGTACCATTCTTTCCACTGACACGAACAATAGAGAACCATTCCTCTCACCGATGCCAGCAATAGGGTCATTTTCTTTCCACTGACATCAATGATGGGGCACTATTCTTCCCACCAACACTAACAAGGAAGTACCATTTCTCCCACTGAAACAATGGGGAACCATTCCTTTCACTGATGCCAGCAATAGGGTCATTTTCTTTCCACTGACATCAATGATGGGGCACTATTCTTCCCACCAACAAGGAAGTACCATTTCTTCCACTGACAAACAATGGGGAACCATTCCTCTCACTGATGCCAGCAATTGGGTCATTTTCTTTCCACTGACATCAATGATGGGGCACTATTCCTCCCACTGATACCAGCAATGGGGCATAATTCCTTTTACTGATATAAGCAATTATATCCTATTCCACCAATTAGTACCAACGATGGGGTAACACACAAGCAACAAGATTACTAGAGACGACCACTTACTTGTCTCTACAGCATAACTACCTTCCAGGCTGAAATGCTGCAAAATCTCTTTCCTCCAGGTCATTCAGGGAGTGTGCAATGCTGTAGATGCAGGTTAATAGCAGCCCGGTCACTAGTATTGTTGCCAGCTACTTTTATGACAATCATCTTTACCACACGAGAAAATAAACAGTCTTATTCACAGCAACCACAAAGGAATGCAAGCTGTCATTGATGCTAAAGGGCACAATAGCAACTTATCCTATAACCCCACTGTAGACACTGGATTGAGGAGCCACCAGCAGTGCTGTGTAGCGGGCTCCCACTTCTTCACTTTCTCCATCACACAGTGACAGAGCCTCCGGCTGGCTCCTATACGGGGGGCTCCCCGATACATTCAAACAATACAAAGTGAATAAAGCGGCCGCCCCACACAGCAGTAATAAAGCAGCCTGGCAGCAGCTCCTTTGTTGTGCTGTGGCAGGCTCCAGGTTGGGGTGGGGAAGGAGGCCGGGACGTCATTCCTAGGAGGAAAACTTTCTACACCTCATAAGCAACCGGTGCCTTACGTGAGGAGAGATGGAGAAGTGAAGGAGGAGCCCAGTGACTGTGCCATGGGAAGGAGGGCAGCAGGCTGCCTGGTGCACGTGTGAGCGATTCATTCTCCGCCCCGGATCCTATGGTGACTACCCTCGAGGCCCAGAGGAGAGTGACTCATTTGTGCTGACCCCCACCAGTAGAGAAGACCTCTAAAGGCGCCATTATTGTGAGAAAGCCTGCCCAGTGTGAGTTGCACCTTCCATAGGACAAGAGGGGACCTCTAGTTTTAATTATTGCGCATCTGGTGAGTGTGCATTTCTTATATTTCCTGCACAATACCTAGTTTGTGCCTCATGAGAGTAACGAAGTCACCGATTTTATATGTTATTAGAATTGGACATTATTTTCTTTGGACTTTTATTATTGATTTTATTTGAGGTTGTGGTCAGACTCAGATCCATTCCATACATATTGTTCATTAGCGCTGCACTTTCATATTCTCTATCTTAGAACTCCCATCTGAATGGAAACAAAACCAAGATTTATACTCCATATCTGAGGATACCATTTGTATTAATGCGGTTTTTAATGGATCTTCTCATGTTTATGCATTTTACCTCTCAGTACAAGGATCATCCTTCTTCTGGTATTGTGAAAAAGGTATCTGACAGTTCTTTATACATGGTATGCCCAAGGAGAGAATTGTGTATCATTACATTTTATATTTTCAGAGAATCCAACCTGAAAAGTGTACAGATGGAAGGAGCTGAGACATGCAGCTTCAGAGGGTCAGGCAGTTTTGTTTTAAAAACACCTATATGCTACAATGTTTTTTTGTCATAAAAAGGTAGATTATACTTCTAAAACACTAATAACTCACAAACACGCCTGGAACTAAAGCCTGCATCAAAGAGTTCAGAAATGCTGTTTGACAGTTATAATCAGCTAT